ATATTGTATCTGAAATATATCCAACAGCAGAATTAAGAGTTTGAAGTGCTGTTCCTCAGGATAACATTTCACTCCTTGAGCTTGTTATCTGAGACCTTGGCAAGTTACTAAGTATCTTTGTGTTTCATACTCTTCATTGCAAAATGGTGATGATAATAATAACCACTATCTTATAGGACAACTATAAAGTTAAATGGAAAATTTGTAATTCAGGATTTGGCACAATGTAGGGATTCTATAAGGTTAACTGCTGTTGTGGCTGCACTTCTCCTGGTAGTCCCACTATGACTATTCAGCAACAGAATAAATTTCTAAAATATGTGTATTTTAGCAAGGCTTGTTAGTAGCTCTTTCCTTAGCATGGAACTATAATATGGTGCATCAAGACTCAGGTTTGCTAGGAAATAGAACATATCACTACACACACCTAGTTCCAAGGGACTTATTACTTAGATACAATAGTTCTAATTATAGCTGCTATACACCAACTATTTGTACCACTTCAAAATTCACATATTAAATCATGACACCCAAGTATATGATAAGAAGAATTGTGTTTTTCAGAAATGATCAGGGACCAGGGAAATGGCTCAGTGGAATAAGCACTTCCCTGGCAAGCACAAGGGCCTGAGTTCAATCCCCGGTTCCGCCAAAAAAAAAAAAAATTATGTAGGGGGTTTGTTATGTCAGGAACAAGGTGGTGATTTAGGATAAAAAAAAAAAAAAAAAAAAAAAGGAACTGATAAATTCAAGATGGAGGACCTCAAATGGATTGATGGTCATATTATGAAAGAATTTCATTAAAGTTTGTTTTTCTTTTCCACCCTATGAGAACAAGGAGGTCATCATCTGGGGCCAAAAATCAGACACATAGCAGACATTGAATCTTCTTGTGTCTTGATTTTGGACCCCCAACCTGTGGAACTATCAAAAATAAATGTCTATTGTTGAAGCCACCATGTCTATTCTAGTTCATTATCATAGTCTACACCAATTAAAATATTATAGTTTCTTGCTCTCAAAAATCTAGCCTTGACCATCACTGGAGTTATATAGCTCTGAAGCAAAAAAGACTCACAGTCCTTGATACTAAATCAGTGACTCTCGATACAACTTATGGAATGATCTCCCAATTGACTACTATAAGGGTTGAGTATCTATTTAGTTGTTAGGAGTTCTCATTTGTGTCTTCCAGGTACTAGTCATCAATCTGCAAAACAGCTTCACACTTTTGAATATTCCTCAATGCCCAATTTGATTTGACAATTTTAATATTGCTGTTGATGAAAAAAGAAGCATCAATCCCATATAGTTTCTATCTTTGATGAATGAGTTATGAAACTGGATTTAATTCTTTTTAAATGCACTAAATAGAGCAAGGCAGAGGATTTATCTCAATAGAATATTTCATACTTATATCCACACAAATATCCTGCCACTCAACAACAGAAAGAAAGGTAAATTGTAGGACTGATTTGCAATTTTAAAATATCAAGTTTTTTTCTGGGGATTTTTTTCCATAATTTTATTGAGAGACAAATAGCAATGGTATAGTTTCAAATCAAATTGGTATGACAGCTTCAATAATTAACACATTGCATACTCTCTTCCTAGTGGTTATTTGCTGTGCAAAATGCAGATATGACATTCTATTAACACTATTACAACAAATCCTTCTATCCATTAAGAGAATGTAACTATATCTATCCTAACCATTTTGAATTGAACCCAGGATCTTCTGCATGGCAGGTAAATTCTATACATTGAGTTACACCTTCAGCTTGCCTAGAAATTTAAAGATAGCTAAAAGGCTATCTAACATACAGCTGATATTCTCATCAAACACATACAGCATATTTTCATTCTGTGAAAGTACTTTCTCAAATATGCATAAATAAAAACTGTTTTGTAAAAAATGACATAAGTTTTAATAAGTACAAACAAAAAAATTTATTAAGTTTAGTGTGGCCAGGGAAAGTCACCTAGAGAAAAAAATTCTCTCTGGCTTTCACAGACAGCAAATTGGTCAAGCAAAGGCCGTGACTCATCCAGATGGCTGACACAGACTGAAAACCTACAAGGTGTTGTACGTGGTTCCATGGTAAATCCTGAGTGAATTTGACTGACTTGTCAGATAGCAAAAGTTACATTTTTACTTTTTTCCCATAATTTTATTGAGAAAGACATCGCAATGAGACAGTTTCAAACCAAATTAGTATGACAGTTTCAATAATTAACACATTGCATACTCTCTTAATGGTAGTTATTTCCTGTACAAGATGCAGACATGATATTCCATTTACAAACACTATTACAACAAATACCTCTATGCATTAAGAGAATGTAACTATATATCCATCCTAACCATTTTGAATACACAGACACAAAATGGACATTCATCTGTATCCCCTTTTGTTTAGTTCTGTCATTCGAATATTATAGGTGGTTTAACTCAGCAAAATATTCTAAAATAATTCAGTAGTCCATAATAGTATTGGGTCTTCCGCTTGACTGGCAATGTCAGAAATTGTTGA